TGGATAAGTTCTGAGACATGCCCCAGTTTAGATGTGAGAAATGTTTTGGATAAGTTCTGAGACATGCCCCAGTTTTGATGCGAGTGTTTTGGATAAGATCTGAGATATGCCCCAGTTTAGATGCGAGAAATGTTTTGGATAAGTTCTGAGACATGCCCCAGTTTAGACATGAGAAATGTTTTGGATAAGTTCTGAGACATGCCCCAGTTTAGATGCGAGAAATGTTTTGGATAAGATCTGAGACATGCCCCAGTTTAGACGTATGAAATGTTTTGGATAAGATCTGAGACATGCCCCAGTTTAGACGTGAGAAATGTTTTGGATAAGTTCTGAGACAAGCCCCAGTTTTGATGCGAGTGTTTTGGATAAGATCTGAGATATGCCCCAATTTAGATGCGAGAAATGTTTTGGATAAGTTCTGAGACATGCCCCAGTTTAGATACGAGAAATGTTTTGGATAACTTCTGAGACATGCCCCAGTTTTGATGCGAGAAATGTTTTGGATAAGTTCTGAGACATGCCCCAGTTTAGATGTGAGAAATGTTTTGGATAAGTTCTGAGACATGCCCCAGTTTTGATGCGAGTGTTTTGGATAAGATCTGAGATATGCCCCAGTTTAGATGCGAGAAATGTTTTGGATAAGTTCTGAGACATGCCCCAGTTTAGATACGAGAAATGTTTTGGATAACTTCTGAGACATGCCCCAGTTTTGATGCGAGTGTTTTGGATAAGTTCTGAGACATGCCCCAGTTTAGATGCGAGAAATGTTTTGGATAAGATCTGAGACATGCCCCAGTTTAGACACGAGAAATGTTTTGGATAAGATCTGAGACATGCCCCAGTTTAGTTGAGATATGCCCCAGTTTAAATACGAGAAATGTTTTGGATAAGATCTGAGACATGCCCCAGTTTAGATGTGAGAAATGTTTTGGATAAGTTCTGAGATATGCCCCAGTTTAGATGTGAGAAATGTTTTGGATAAGTTCTGAGACATGCCCCAATTTAGACGTGAGAAATGTTTTGGATAAGTTCTGAGATATGCCCCAGTTTAGATGTGAGAAATGTTTTGGATAAGATCTGAGACAAGCCCCAGTTTAGACATGAGAAATGTTTTGGATAAGTTCTGAGACATGCCCCAATTTAGACATGAGAAATGTTTTGGATAAGTTCTGAGATATGCCCCAGTTTAGATGTGAGAAATGTTTTGGATAAGATCTGAGACAAGCCCCAGTTTAGACGTGAGAAATGTTTTGGATAAGTTCTGAGATATGCCCCAGTTTAGATGTGAGAAATGTTTTGGATAAGTTCTGAGACATGCCCCAGTTTAGACGTGAGAAATGTTTTGGATAAGTTCTGAGACATGCCCCAGTTTAGACACGAGAAATGTTTTGGATAAGATCTGAGACATGCCCCAGTTTAGATGCGAGAAATGTTTTGGATAAGTTCTGAGACATGCCCCAGTTTAGACATGAGAAATGTTTTGGATAAGTTCTGAGATATGCCCCAGTTTAGATGCGAGAAATGTTTTGGATAAGCTGCATGATATGGTCAACTCAAGATGTGAGAAAAATTCCTCGATAATTTTCGTGTCTTTCGTGGAATCAGACATTCCTGGGTTTGACTCGAGACATGCCTTTGATAAATATGAGACATATACTTGATAGAGAAAAACATACATACAAGAAAATACATGTCCCGTAACATGGTAAGATCTTAAACCTTTATATGACCTTGGCACAACCTAGGTATAACTTGGAGTGACTATAACGACAAGGATATGACTTTGGAGCGACTTTTTTATGGCCTTGACACACAACCTGGTTATAAATTAGTTTGGCCATAACAACCAGGATGTAACCTCCGAGTGACACTTATATAATCTTGACACAACCAGGACATCATTTCGTTTAAAATCCTCCCAGACTGTTTTAATAAGTTGGACAAGAACCAGATTTAACACATCTTATGTTCACATACAATTATAGCACTTCATATAATTATGAAACCGAGTCTTACGAAAAACTAAGTTTTGAGGACATCAAAATACATAATTAATGCTATCACATGGACGGCTAAACATAACATCAATTGGATATTATGAACACAATGAAGAATCATTTTTATTTATGTGTAACAGAGGAAAACGGCCATCAAAAGAAACCAGGTAAATGTGAACAACCCTGGTACAAGACTCTTCACTTTGATCATATTTCACCATAGTTACATTGCAGTGTCACACAAATGACACATTTTGTAAATATCTCCTACAATTAACATATAACAAGATCATATACAATTGCTCTCATATACAAATAGTTCAATATTAGTTAAAATTCAATCAGCAGGTACTTTTACAAACTTGAACAGTTCTCGTCACTAAAAAGACACCAAGTTTTCAATAGAGCCATATAAAAGTTGTTTATCAAAATACAGAAGTGCAAAATAAAACTGTTTTGGACATAAGTTCACCTGATATCATTTATCTATTTTTTATTTTTCTCCTTTTGAAAATTCTGCACTCAGAGTAAAATGTAAAATGCTACAGTAAACCAACAAAGTCTGAAACATGATATGGTATCATAACAATATATTTGGCATTTTTTAAATTTGCACATAAAAATGTACATTTTCTCATTAAGGACTTTTTCAATAAACAAAGTTCAGAGGTCAAGAACAATCAGGGAGTTCATATAAGATCAGTTCTCAACCATTGACAGGGATATTTAACTACCTGTGATCATAGATTCGACAAGTATCTGTTTTTACCAATACAGGGGAGACAATCCACATATTAACTGAAACCATTTCATATTGCATACAAAATTTGGGATTTGTGAACACAACATACATTTTATAAATGTAGAGATTAAATACAATGATAGTTTTTTTTAATGGAAGCCATGTTTGAAGGATATATACTTGAAAGTATACATATGAATTTTGAAAGATTGAAAAGATATTACAAAAACTGTCATTTAAATTTCATATTTTCCTTTTATCAAAACAAATCTTCGATCGTGCAATGTAAAACAGACAATATTTATTTGATATTAGTAGTGTATCAAAATTTCCTGAGCAACATCTACAAATATTGGCATTATAAGTGGTATTATTGATTCACATTCAAAATAAGGTAAATTCAATGACACATGATTGTAACCTGCATTAATATTCACATTGCTATAAAAACTATGTTATATCTCCAGTCCTATCCTAACAGTCATCAAGTCATATTACATTGGTTGATCTTTTCAGAAACATGCAGTGATTTTTAAAATTATACTCAATTCAGACAACTCAATCAGAGACAATGAAGCCAGACAGATTGGACTATTGAGGTGACCTTGACCTACAGGTCAGTCAAGCTATAAAAGCTTGACCTTTGCTCTGACCTTGAGAATATTACTTTCTAATTGGAACATATGTGACAGTTAAACCAAAAATAATGATTCATCCAAACTTATTCACTGGTTTAAAAGTTATTGTCAAGGAAAGCATTAAAATTGTTTAACCTTGAACTTCGATTTCTTTTGTCTTTGACTTAAATAGAAAAGACCTGATATGTGATAAATAGTCAATCTGATAAACCAGAGTTCCGGAGTTACTTCCCTTTATTTCACTAATCAGTATAGATGATATGGTAATAAACTGGACAACCATGGAGAATAGGGGTGGAGGTTGGGTGGGGGAGTGGAGGTGTTGCTGAGGGCTACAAATAATTGGAGTGAGCCAAGGCCGAAATTTGATGACAAATTCAATCTGCTGACATCCATTCCTAATTTTTTTTGACATTGAGTATGTGACCACAGTGTGAGACACTATCTATTGGTGAAATGTGTCATCTATTGTACTTATCTATAGTCATCAGAAATTATTGGCTATGCAACATCTGGACGGATAGATCTGCTGAAAAAAGATCCTTCAATAATTAGCCTCAGTTTATTTATTTCTATTGTTTTTAGTAAATAATGGAGTAGTCCAGCATCGATTTAGCTACTGTACATAAAATAAGGAGAAACAGATTCCGAGGATGGAACATTACTTTTTAAAGACCTATATCTCATCTAGTTAATCAAAAGGCATGGGTAACCCCTATAACTGTGTCATTAATTTGTCTTTGTCTTTGAAATATGTTTGTGATTGATCTGGAGACGTCTTGTAGCTATATTTAAGTCTAGCATATGTGACCTTGAGAAAAAATGTAAGAATTACCCTAACTATCATGGAGTAAATGTGCCATCCTTTTATCACTTCAAGAACTGTAAGAAAGGTAATCAAATGAACACTTTCTTCTTCATCATGAAACATACTGAACACTGCGTAATGTGCTGCCAATATAATTGTGCCTAAAAATTCTTTCAACTTCATATATCTATTATTACTGATAAGCAAAATGTATTTTTTAAAATTAAGACATGCAATTGCAAATTTATTACTTTTTGAAATTTCACTGCCAAAATCAGTTGCTGACAAGATTTTTATTTTTATTTTATATACCTAACATACCATTGAGTATCTATAAACTAATAATGAGATGTAGTTAAATAGCCATTACACATACTCCTAGTATATGTAGGCATGGCAGAACAAGTCAATTGGTGAACCTTCCAAATTTCTCAAGAAAAACATGGTATTATGCTGAAACTCATGATAATTAGTGATTTAACACTTCACAACTTAATTTTCTCAATTAATTAAACAGATAATTTAATTTTCTGAACTTGCTAAAGTGAGAATTGAATTTTCAGAATTTATTAAAGTGAGAATTCAATTTTCTTACTGATGAATGTGGGAATTTAATTTTCTAAACTGATTAAAGTGGGAATTTAATTTTCTAAACTGATTAAAGTGAGAATTTTATTTTCTAAACTGATTAAAGTGAGAATTTTATTTTCTAAACTGATTAAAGTGAGAATTTTATTTTCTAGGATTAAAGTAAAATTTTATTTTCTAAACGGATTTAAGTGAGAATTTTATTTTCTAAGTATGTTAAGTGTAAATTAGAGTGTTTATTTAGTAGCATAAGTATAGCTATAGATATTTGTGTTTATATTATTTTTATACTGCTAAGAATTCCAGCTAAGGTTAAATCATTAAAATTCTTACAAATTCAAATCGTTAAGTGTTCGATCTTCTTCGATTCTTTTTCTCAAAAGATAAAACTGTGACAGGGTTTCTTTAACTTGTTTCGTTGTCATTCCAAAACGAAACGTCATTAGAGAAATCCTGACCATGGCGTCAGGATGTTTTCTTATTCATAGTATCTTTTTCAGCATGTTTTGTGTAGTTTGTCTTTTTGTTGGAATCTTTTGGCGGAGATTTGTCCCGAGACTTGTATGCATTTGGAGGTAAGGGGTAGAGGCCATCATCTTTGTCCTTAGGGTCACCATACAAAACAAACTTCTTGAAAGCTGTGAGCAGCGCTCGGCATTCCATCTCGTCATTATATGGACTTGGATCATACTTATCCTTAACTCTTTTCCGCTCCTATAGACAAATGAAGGGAATACTGAATGACAACAATCTGTTACTGTCATCATATGTACAATATAATCAAGAATTAAAGTCACAGAACACAGGAATTTTAGAAAAAACACAAAACAGTATACATCCCTTGAAATTAATAAGAAATAAGGAAACATTACATGTTAGAAAAACAAAGAGCATGGCGTTATAAATCAAGATTTTATTCGATACTTTGTCTCTTTTAACCTTACAATTTAGTAGCATCGGAAAAACTGATACATTTTTACATTGCTGGAGATAAGCATTAATTCTCATGCAAAAACATTTAAATGTTTTTACACTGAAATTTTGTGTCTGCCTGTTTGAACTTACCTTCTCTACAAGATCAGTTTCAAATTGTTGTAGCTGTCGCTGAAAACCAAAGTTAGGATTGGCACAGCTTCGCGCTCCTCTTATAGCATTCAGGGCATCTCTCCAGCCAAGGCTAGTGACCGTCATGATGTAAGCAGCGGTCACTGTCACACTTCTAGACACTCCAGCGATACTGTTATAAGAGAAAATACACGCACAATAAGCATAGTATATTCATCTGTATAAAAAATTGTGTCAAACAGGTACAGGTGGTACACTCATGCTAAATCAAACCAGAATACAACAATCTTTGAAAGTCTTGTCAATTTAAATGTGCAGCAGCTTGATGGTCTCAAACCTGGTACCTATGCAGCACTTACAATGATACAATGTGTTTTAAGTACTTACAATATTGTTTTTCATACGTGTTATAGAACTCAAACGATGCTACACATATTAGGTAACAGACAATTGAGAAGACTTTTTCTTTTACACTGAATAGGTACATCCACACTATATACCGATGGTAGATTTCCTTGTCTCAACCTAGGGTTGAAATGGGGGATTCCCCTGTCAGAACATCCATATGACGTCACAGTAACAATTCACTGACGTCATGTCGACTATTAAATCATGTCAACAAACGCAGCTTCGGGACAAAAAAAAACACATACAAGTACCTGATAAAGTCAGCAGGGTAAGGGAAAATAATTATTCACCTCTTTGTTGGTGAGATAGGTGTAACTCAACCCTTTGGGAAGAAATGAAATTTGCTGACACTCCACAAGGCTTGTGTTCGCTAACTTAATCATCGTTCCCCTCAGGTTGTAATCAACCTATCCCACTTCCAAGGGATTCTATTAGTCTGTGATCTACTTTAGCACATGAACCTCAATTTTTTTTTTGAAGGAAGTTCTTAATGGTAGAGATTGTATAGGAGTTTGCCTTGACATGGGCCTGTGTTTCCAATACTTTGTTCATAGTTCTATAGTTTTTGGTTACAGGATGATGACGGCATAGAAACCAGCTCTCCAAAACAAGACCAAGATATACTCTAAAACATTGAACTTAACCAGTTGACTAAGAGATGTATACCTTTATCTATATGTGAACTATGATGGTACACACAGCCAGTGAAATCTACCTGGAGTGATTGAGTGGTGTAGAAATAACCATATCACCTTCCTCCAAGATAGCCAGGGTTTGATACCTTGACTGGGTGTAAAAAAGCCGATACAATCACCTGCCCAGCCATAGGGAATATATTTGAGTACTCTAGTTCTTTCCAGTTACAAAACGACTCCTCATCCCTGTGTTTCCAAATATCTTTCTATAAAAATGCCGCTATCTACATTTCAAAATTTGCCACCACTTACGAATAGACCCCGCCCTAAACTTCTAAATCTTAAAGACAACACGATCGACATTCCCCTTGCACACTTCCATCATGACCAAATGAATATAGATTCATAGTCTGTTTCACAAATTATGATGTTTTAGCGTAGACTAAGACAATGTCTATCTAAATCTACCCAGATATTATTTTAACTGGGTTACACACAAGAGCACAAGGACATTAATCCAGATCTACAAGTGGATTATGTTAATAGGAGTTCTCACCAATGGACTAGGACGTTGCCACCTTTGAGTCGTGCCTCATGAATGAAGTCTATACACTGGGAGAAGAACTTGGTGAGGGTCTGATCCGGAGTATCACTGGCAACAATACACAGGTACTCCTTGTCCTGTATGTAGAACACATCATCAGTTATGGAAAAATAATACTTTCACAACTTTCAACTCTGTATGAATTTCTAAACACACACACATATATATATATATATACTGGGCTCTCACACCCCAGTTTGGGACTGGGGCCCGGGGCCCTTAGAATTAGGAAAAATAGCGGCATTTTCTTAGAATTGGGAAAACCTGGGGTCTAAATTGGGAAAAAAAGATACTATTTTGCATTGGGATTCGGCCCCAAATCTGGCAGATCGAGGGCCCTGATATATACTATTCACATGTTTTTTTCTTAAATATTGGCTTCTCTTTAGGAGTAATGGAGTTCAATAGGGCCTATTGTTTAATTAACATGTTTAGAAATTTAATTGACATACCTTTAACAGAGACAATTAACAGAGATATTCACCTGAATTCCAGATGCTGACCTGTTTTAGTAATATTTGATTAAACGCCTATTGAATTCAGTTACTTTGTACACATTACCACAATGTACAACAAGAACAAAAATATGATATAACTACGAGACATACCTCCATGATCTTCTTGGCATTATCATGTATGGACAGAATGTGTGTTATTTTGTATTTTTCAAGCTGCTCAGAATCCTTCGAATCTCTGAAGTTCCCGACATAAAGTCCAGGAATAATCTGTAACAGACCGAAAAATTCTATGTTTTATATATGATTTATAATCCTATCTGAATATATACAGTATTATGTTTAAATCATGTCAATTTCGTACTCGTTTCCCGAACTAATTTTGGGGATAAATCTACTAAGTTTATAATGACAAAAAAAAAAAATACTAAATTGAATATCTTATGTTTCAAAAATTGTTAAAAATCAAGATGACAACTTGAGACAAGTGATCATGATTAAAGGCAGTGGTTTGATACAGAATCCTTTATGATACCTTTCTATATTTTTGTTCGTACTACATATTTCAGAGTCGTCAATTATAATAATCAACATAGAGGTATCGGTTTAACAGATGAAATATTCATTTTGTGTAGTTTCTTGCCAATTTTCTTTCAGATGAAAGCAAAACATTATATTTTTAATGCTGATAGAGGCCAACAGAGTTAGAAGAAACAAAATAATGAGACTGGAAGAGTGAGTTCAATGGTTTGATTGTTTTCAAGCAGAAGGACTAGTGTACATGTTTATATTATTATAGCATTCCTAAGAGGTCTATTTGTGTCTGAGTGTGTAAGGACTGTGATGGCTTGAACAAGAAAAGGATTTTCTGGATGGAATTTGTCAAGGCTTAGTACAATTTTGTAAATATATTGATTATACAACTTCGTAGCTTGTAAGGCAACAGGATGAAGAAAGACAATTTTGATTTGCATGCTATCCAGGCCTTGAACTGATGATCTACAATATCAAACCGCCTAACCAAGAAATTCTGCAACTGCGTAACCATTACACCACCTTGACATATAACGTAAGTATTTCAATTAATGCACTTTTTCATCATCCTTGTCACAAAAATACATTTTGATAACATACATCATAGAGTATGCATTGACAAAACAAGGATTTTTTTCTTAGACTTAATTTACTCAACGAAATATATTACAAGCTCGGGTTTATGATTAATTATGTTAATGTTAAGTTACAAAACTCTATACAGTACTGTACCCTAATTACATCTTCAATTGTGACTGCTATAGAGGATTCAACATAACATAAAATGAGAAATACCAAATGGTATATAGCAGCTGTCATATACAGACTGTCAAACGTTCACAACGTGAAAACAGATCACTTTCAATATTGATTGTTGTTTATTTAAGATTCATTTAGAAATTTTTGAGTTGTCCCCCTTTACCGACAGCAAAATAAGATGGTCTTTATAACACAAGATCGCATATTATCACGCGAAAGTAAATGGTAAATACCATCTTCTCCTCGTGTTTAACTGACTAAAATAATAAACGATATGACCCTTCACCATCACCAGATAGAATCATTCTGTCTGACGCATTGCGTTTTAAATTTTAACATATACTTACCTTATTCATGCCATTGCCCATTTTGTCACGACAACACCTTATAAATCAACCCAGGTGAACTGCCTCTTTTGTATGACAACAATATAAAATGTTTTTATGACCACATCACAGTGTACATGTCCATAGAGACTGTGTAGCTGTTTCTTCGGTCGTGTGTCAAATACCGGAAGTAACTGACAATCCGCAATATGGGGTGGGTCTAATGTACGGATACATCAACCATGCTTTACGATATTATCTGTTGTTACTTGAACTATTTCGCTGTTGTGTACCTGTTCAAGAATAGTCTTTTCAAGATGGTAAAAACTAGATGCCACTGAAAGGTAAATGCTCTCTTTAAGCTACAAAGTCACTGGTTTATGCATACAACCTGACCGTGACAAGTACCTCGCAAAACTTTGAAATACTCAAATTTGGTATTACAATATTTGTATGGTGTTGTCGATCATAAATAATTGTCAGCCCTTCGCAAAGTTGAGCGAACTTTTAAATTTTGCATCAAAGCGGGATTTTGCTCATATAGAAACATCTAAACAGTCTAAGTTATGTTTTTCTCTCATTTCCACCTGTGTCAGATAGGCCTGTCCAGGGCAATAAACATGGTCATGATAGACGTTTATTACACAGGCGCCTGTGTAATAAAGCCTCGCGCGCGGAGTAATTCATAGTTTTTCCCCGCGCACTCATCGACTATGTCCTCGTCAACCGCTTCATCCACAAACACGCATAGTCGATTGGAGTCATTGTTTGCAGGCTCGTATTAACAAAACTGTTCTATAAATATCAATATCACCAACCCTGGGACTCAGCCTTTCCGCCGTCGTCCACGTGTGATTGAAAGTGACAGTGACTAACTTTCCTCCTGTTGGTGTGGCGCGAAATGTGTGACGTAAGTGACGTCATCTCACAAGCAAACCAAAAATTCCATTCATAAATGTTTAAGATTTGTAAGATTACTATTGACAGTGAAGTAGTATTAATAACTTGACCAACATGTTCAAAGATGTAAAAAGTGTTTATGATATATTATACATTGAGCAATAGTAAATATTAAAAAGAAAAGTGTTGTTTTATTGCGTGTTTTAAGGCACTATTTGAACGCGTACGCATGTCTCTGGGTGATATATTTGACAGGGTATTTGACCCAGCCCGCTTGAAGAAAAAACAGTTAAACACTGACGTTGGATGTTTACATTCAAAGTCCATATTATGTTTTCGACCGCAAACATACTTTGCAAAATTCGGGGATGGAAAATCTATTTCAGCATTTTTTTTATGTATATGGCCCAAGGAAAAAACTAGAAATCTGAAAAATGGCGGCGTCCAGTGATGGTGAGTGCAAATATTTGATAATATGAGATTAGAAATGAGAGAAAAAAACACTTTTCTATATGGGTATGTAGGATAGGGATATTCCACCCTCGGGATCACAAAATATGGTAAAAACCCCCGGCAAGCCTCGGGTTTTACCACATTTTGTGACCCCGCTTTTAAGTGATATAATATTTAAGCTCATCGCCCTATAATATTCACAATTTTTACAGAAAATGTTACGGACTGGTACCAAAAGCAGTTCCATTTTACTACACAAATATTGTTATATAAATTTATAGTATTTCTTAGTTTTGCGAGGTACTTGTAACGCTCAGATTGTATTCATAAACCAGTGACTTTGTAGCTTAAAGAGAACATGCGCACCTACATTTCGTGGTCGTCCAAGTCCGCCATCTTGAAAAAGACCATTCCTTAACAGGTACACGGCAGTGTTATTGGTTCCTTCAAAGAACTAAAGCATTCGAATCTGATCAAATAGCATACATTTCTTTTTTTTCAGTTATTGTTATTGTCTTACAAGGATATTTTTAGACATCATGCTCGAAGAAAAGAATATTTTCCCTTTCAGCATGAGAAGTTAAATATTCCATCAGGACAAAACAATAACCAGTAAATGAAGAGTTGTTGGCTAATATTTTGCTAACCTTGGAGCGCGTACTCCAAAAAAAACCTAACACATTAGGCAGCCAATATTGAAACACTTGAAAGACGATACTAGCACCACCAAAACAACTATGATTAAAGGTATTTTGTAAGTAAATATAGGGTCTCAATTGAGCTTTTGTTAAGGCCCACAAGAATAAAAATTTCTAAGATTTGTTTCATAAAATCTCAAACCCAACAAAAGGCAAAATTACAGTAATTTACTTACACTCAACTCAGAAAAATTACATTTTTACAGTTTTCAGATTAAAAGGTTTGGAAGGTAAATGTATCATTTCAATTTTTGACGTAATGACGTTATCCAAATTTTGACACCAAAATCGATTTCCTGAATTTCGTAGCCAATGGAAAACGCTCAAGCTTACATTGCAGTAGTGAAATATGGAAAACTGTGACATTCCGACAAAATATTGTCAATAAAACATGTTTGAATTTATCAATAATACAAGAGAAAATGTGCAGCTCAACCACTTAAATAAGTTTAAGTAGGTACTGATACTATAAAGCAAATTCCGGAAATGTGTACTGTTACAGTGTGGTCGGAAAAGTGCATTAGATCAGGGCATTGGGCCGAATTTGATCATTTCAATATATAACTTCTGCATTTCCATAAACATTCGATAAAACAGACACCGACGAGTAATTCTGTGGATTTGGTGACAGTCATTTCCTAATCGAGTCGGCAAAGAACTGACTCTTTACTGTACAGACATTGCGGTCTACTTATCCAAAATGTTCAGTCACATCCCATGCTTTAGTTGTCGTTCTCCTGGATCACACTTTGTCCTTCCACGATGCTGTACCCTACCTGCATTGCCGACAAGATTAGGAAACCACAGCCGTGATCTTAGTATATGGTTTTGGTAAAATATGAATATTTTACGAAGTATGTATTAAATAAACATTATAATTATATAAATAAAACAATACCAGTCGGTGTTGGGAGGAAAGGATGAAATGGATGAATGGAAGGGGTGTGGGGAAGGGGTAGTATAGACATACTAGGTGTCCTGGTTATCGATGATTAAATGTTAAAACGTTTTGAACTAGAGGTAAATGATTGTACAGACCTACAGATGACAATATTTTTTATCAGTATCGAGATTTTCGTCCCCAAGTAGAAGGTGCTCCACAGTTATTTCGTTGTACCAGTAAAGAGATTGAAGCATTATATTACGTAATTGATCAAAGTTGTTACAGAAAAGCAAGTAATGACTAGAGTCTTCAGAATGATGTCCGCAACTGCAAGAAGAATTAGGTCGAAGACGTGCTTTGTAAAGATCATAATTTAGAGAGCTGCTGCGGTTGCGGAGTTGGCAATGTATATTTACCTTTCTGGGCCCGTACTCAAGAAATGATTTAATATTTGTAGGGATAGTAAGATGAGGTAGAAGAGTTTTGAATTGTTTGGTAGAATCAGATGACTTAGTTTCTATAGGTAGAGTATTCCAGGAGTCTGAAGTGCTTGGTATAAAGGATGATTTTGTAAGTTGTAGCATATAGAGTGGATTTTGAAAATTATTTCTGTTTCTAAGATTGTAACTTGTAAAATTTGACACAGTAGGTGGTAGTAGAGATTTCAGATATGAAGGAACTTTATTGTGATAAATATTATAAAAATAGATAACTTCCTATTTATCATTTTCAGTAGTGATGGTACCTTATTTTTAGAAAACTAGAAGTTTATTAACCACGTCCATATTGTACATGCACCAAAACCAGAAATCAAATACACAAGTCTTCATCCGACATACGCAAGCCTGGAACTTTTCCAACAGCGAGCTAACAACAAACACACAGCGCTATTTCTTATTAATTCCATACCAGTTTGACCCGTCCTTCACAATTTCAAATTTTCATGTATAATATTCTGTGTAAGACAACGCAAGATGTTGGTGTATGATGTTGAATGAATATTCAAGGAATAAAAACAGTAATGAAAACTGTGACAGACTACGAAAGCACAACGCTGACGTCTAGGAAATGAAGGGATTTGTGAAAATACAACCAGATATCATATAAAGACTGAAATCCAATTTTCAGATTGCTACTAGCTAAAGGATATATGTCTGTGATGTTAAAAGAAGAACGAGAATTTAGAGAGAGAGAGAGAGAGAGAGAGAGAGAGAGAGAGAGAGAGAGAGAGAGGGGGGGGGGGAGAGAGAGAGAATGGAGGGCAATAGTGAATTTAACAGATTTAAACTTGTACATAAACAACTAGATCCGCATGTATTATGGAAGTTTGCAATGGTATACACAGTTTACAAGAAATCGATACAATATGTTATGGATATTGTTGTTTCTAATCCTAACGAATGTACAGTTACGTCACAAATGTGGAAATATGAATCGGGATGCTTTAACCCATATTGTATTAAAATGTATCCACACCGTTATTCTACGAAACCAGTTGTGGCGTTCAATAGCTGATATTAGTGATACAGGTGTTTTATTTAATATGTATCTTCATTCCCTGTCAGATAATTAACTAACTTATGTTTTACTTAGAGGACCATTCAGTTACAAACTAAACAATGAAGATGTGAATGAATTCAGGATAATTTCAGTATTAGATAAAGTCGACTGTATCATAGGTAGTATTGTCCTAATTACCACAAGCCGCAGTAATATAGTGTTTTTACATTACGTATTTTACCTGTACTCTAAATATATGTATACATGTAAATTCTACAACGGTGACGTCAAAATCTCATTATAATGAGGTGTTTCTACACTACGTACTATCATGACGTGTACTCTAAATACATGTATACATGTAAATTTACCTACGTAATATCATAGTCTCATTACATATGTGTACTGTAGTGTTTCTACACTACGTACTATACGTGTACTCTCTATATATTCTACTTGTTGATTTGATAGTCTCATTGTGATAAAATTAATCTTTACGGACACTTTTGTGAACTTATATATTCTATAACCAGATAATTTGTATGTACACACGTGTATGTAAGCCATACATGTATTGTCTGCTATGTAATCGTGTATGTGTATGTACACACCTGTATGTAAGCCATACATGTATTGTCTGTTATGTAATCGTGTATGTGTATGTACACACGTGTATCTAAGCCATACATGTATTGTCTGTTA